TTATTTCTTATAAATAGTTGCTAGACTATCAACAAATTCTTATTATTAACAAATACAATGTTTTCTTCAATTCAAAGTAGTTTTCTATTATATAATTATTTCTATTTTGTTTAGATCTGCTTTTTTTATTTAGACTCATCACCAACTTGTAAAATCATTGAAATTCCCCCAGGTTTAATAGAAAATGGAAAAACATTATTAATTGAAACACATTATGAATTATTTATAAATAATTATCATTTCTCACGACCATCACATTTTATTACACAAAATCATGGATTATGTCTTGTTGATAAACAACAAAAAGATTTTATATCAGATCAATATTATTATCAATTAAATTCACATAATTATGATTATCGTAAGTTTACATTTTGATTTTTGTTTTCTTTTTTGATTATCTATCATATTAAATGATACATTTTCACTAACAAATATTCAATTAAATACAAACACAGCAATTGAGAAACAACACTAGATAAACAAAGACACAGATCATATGAATATATATATATGCACGGTTGGAAATAATATTTTTCCAGGGAGCTACCGCTATAATTTCAAATAGAGTAATTAATGAATTTTATACCAAATGAAAGCGCGTCAAAAATGAGGTTTAATGGTACTAAACAGTAAGAGTGATCAAAACTTTTTTAGCGTAGACAATTAAGGCGCCAGTAGTTCAAAAATGGAATAAAACTTTGTTCTTGGATATTTTTACATGGTTCGATAGAGCTCGTCAAGCTCTACAAAACTGTATATATTTAAAAAAATTAAGCCATGTTTCTAAGATAAAAAACTCAGAAAACTACTGAGGAAATCTTAAAAAATGTTAAAAAACTTATTCTTTTTATATCGAACAAAAACATTCGACTTTTCAATAAAAAAAATAGCTTTTTTAATCACATTTACAACCACAAACTCTTCGGAATATACTGATTAGACGCAGTTTTTCACGCTGCATCTGATGAGTATATTCCGAAGAGTTTGTGGTTGTAAATGTGATTTAAACAGCTATTTTTTGTTGAAAAATCGAATGTTTTTGTTCGATATGAAAAGAATAAGTTTTATAACATTGTGTAAGATTTCTTCAGTAGTTTTTTGAGCTTTTATCTCAGAAACATGGCTTAATT